ACTGTGATCCCGTCCGGGTGTGATTGCTTGAAGTCATGGTGGTGAACAACTTTGGTACCTGTTTGCCAGAAGGGAGCTCCTGGGGGTGGAGCAAACACGATCTTCCCTCTTGATTGATCATCATCAACCGTGATCAGAACAAGCGTTCCCTCGGGAGAAAACCAGTCATGAAGATGTTTGACTTCAGTTCCAGCGGGAAGCCCATCCAAGAAAATCCTGATCTGTGATAGTTTAGTCCACCAGCGATCGGAGGGATGGTTACTGTTTCGATTGGCCTGAGGTGATGAGTGGGCTCGATAACGGGAATTTGGGGTTCTTCTTCCGGTCTTATAAGGTCCGCTCGGGGGAGTTTTCGGGTTATCGGATCTTTCAAACCGGCGCGAAGCCATGGTTCAATTATAGCCAGTGATGGCTATTTTCGGAGGGAGTGGGGGAGATGTGCAGATTCAAAACCATGTAATCAAGCGATACTTGGAGAGAAAGATGCAGTGTATGCAACAGGATTATGTGGACTTTGAGCTATTGCAAAATCCAATGCTGTGGTGGTGAGAGGAAGCCTTGTACGGCCTCACAAGGCGTACTAACTCACAGGAATTGGGGTTATGAGAGGAGTGGAGGGGTCGAGTTAGATGAATAGAAGAAATAGAATCTACCTTGATGAGAGCCGACGAAGTTAGCTAAGTAGGGGGAGAAGAGGGAACAAGAGCACGGGTGTGGAAAGTGAGATGAATGGTTGAATAAAGGAGGCAAAAGAAAAAGGCGGGAAGGAGGAGAATAACAAGAGAGAGGAAGGAGAAACGGGTAGGTGCTGAGGAGCGCGTCAAGGCGGGCGGCGGTGCAGAGCAACTGTGCGCGCGTGCCAAGTTTCCAGGCTTCGGGTACCAGCAAATACTAACAACTAATGAGGTCTGTACCTGCGGGAAAGTGCCTCGCCTCGGATGGCATCAAGGGTGTGTTTCTCGAGAGGACCGTGGACGCAGCACAGGAGCGAATTCCCACAGTCATGCACCGGGCAGATCTGATGATACACCAAAAACATATACTATAAGCCTTAGGGAAGACACCCATGAGCACCCTCGATTCAATCACAGCGCTGAGTTTCATGAGTATACTATACCTCACATGTTATGTCGGCCAGGTAACGAAATGTACCATAATCGATCAGCACTGTGCACAGCTGCAGCTAACCGAGCCGCACTCCCTCGATAGGCTGGGCACGCTCAAACATATGCTGGTTTGCGAAATCAAACGCCCAAGACCAAACACAACGGCCCAAAATTAGCGGCAGCCACCCGGCCGAGCCAGAAACAGGCCAAACTCCTGAGTCGGGGGATCCTCTTTTGTGTGTACAGACAAAGAAAGGCAGGTATGTTTCGGCGCACCGGGCATCACCACCGCGTGAGGAATAGCCAACAATCATGTCGAAGAAACAGCATGTGTTTCTTTACTTTACTTTAATTTCTTTCATCTACCTCATCTCCTCGATTTCACGGGTGTGTCCAAGTCTTCTGTGCTTCTCTAATTCAATCCCTGAATTTTCTGCCAACCCAGCTAATGGGGTAGATCTAGATGCACGAGGTTCCTCTAACAAGCCATTTTTCTTTACCTATGCTTGTCAAGCTCAGTTCCTAACTATTGATTCGATATATGATGCAGGCGACCGCAAATATCAATATCTTTTTACCATCCTAGCAACACTTCATTCTATCGACCCCCTCCCACATGTGTTCCTACGATTGAGACCATCAGTTCAATCTCGCACTATGATGACTTCCCGATAAAAGAATCGGGGTCACTCCCACGTCTTCGGCCCTTGACAAAGGCTTCTCATTGGCGTCGTCCGCCTCCATCCACGGCACATCCATAATCTTCCCCGGGTTCATGATCCAGAGCGGATCCAGGGACTTCTTGATAGTCCTCATCACATCCAATGTTTCGGGCCCGACCTCCCACAATAGACTCTCCTTCTTCCCCCAGCCTATCGAATGCTCGCCGGTGCAGGTGCCCTCCATGTTCAGTGCTCGCTTGACCATGTTCTTGACGCACGCCTCAACCTTGGCCCTCTCTGCCTTGTCGCGGCCGTTGTACATGATGCTTTCGTGGAAGTTTCCATCCCCAATGTGGCCGAGAATACTGGCAAACAATCCCAGGTCATCCATCTCCTTTTTGCTCACCTCAATAATATCAGCAAGTCGGCTGAATGGGACGGCCACATCCGTGCTCCCTGTAGAGTTGTCAGAATATGCTCGTATTGAATCCCCATGGACAATCACTCACAGACATCCTCGCCATCCTTCCTCAAAGCCATCATTGACCAGAGAGACTCTTTTCTTGCCGACCACAGAAGCTTCTGCTCCTCCGCATCCTTGGCGAACTCAAACTTGCCTCCTTTATTTGCCTGGGTGATAGCCTGCACCAGCCTGATGTGCTCTTGAACCGAGAGCTTGGTTCCAGAAAACTTGAAGAAGAGAGTTGGAGACTCTTCCCAAACCCGAGGCGCAGTCGCACCTCCCAGGTTGACAACCTTCATCTGAACCTCGTCCATAATCTCCAATGCAGCAACAGGAATCCCCGCTTGCATAACGCCCGCGGCCGCTGCCGCAGCGTCCCGGATGCTTGGGAAGGTGACGACTGCAATTGACTGGTCTTCTGGGATAATTGCCAACTTCAGAGTTGCTGTGGTCAAGTGATGAGCCTCCTGTGATCGAATGTGTGCATTGGGAAGAGAATGAGTAACCCACCTTCCGTCACAAGCCCCAAAGTGCCCTCGGACCCAACAAACAGACTGTTGAGGTTGTAACCAGCGGACGACTTTCTTGGTCTCCGCCGAGTCTTGATGATGCGCCCATCGGCCAAAACCACCGTCAAGTTGACCACCCAATCTTTCATGGTTCCATACCGTACGGCATTGGTTCCAGAGCAATTGGTGCCAATCATGCCACCAATCTTTGCACTCGGGCCTAAGCAGCATTTCTGTCAGTTCTCGAAATTGCCTCTGCGATCAATCCAGTCTAAAATATAACAAAACGCCCCAACACATGTGTCTGAACTTACCAGGATCCACAGGAAAGAATAGGCCGCTCTCCATTGCAAGTAGCTTTTGGTTAAGATCTTGCCAGCCAATGCTGGGCTGGACAACAATATCCATATCCTCCTTGTTAAGCTGGAGGATTCGATCCATGTAGGCAAAATCAACACTCACGCCTCCATAAGGAGCAGAAAAGTTTCCCTCGAGACTGGAGCCGCCCGAGTAGGGGATAATTGGAATCTTGTGCTCGTAGCAGATGCGGGCAATGGTTGAGACTTGCTCAGTTGTACGGGGATAGGCTACGGCAACGGGAAGATTGTCCGGGTTTACTGTCGACCAGGCCGAGTAGCCATGAGCATGGAGATCCTCCGGGTCTGTTGAGATGATGTCCTTGTTGCCGAGTTCCTCGGTGATCTTTTTGATTGCCTAGATTATTCAACGTTAACATCACGATCCCCTCGTTGCTGTCCAAGCAGGCTTGCTACTGACCCTCTCCATCTCGGGCACAGTGGCGTATCGTGGCTCTGGCTTCGCGTCCAGTTTGACCTGGAGCGAATTGATCTTGGAGTCGTCCCCAGAGTTTGTTATTGTTGCGACACCCCAGCCAAGGACTCCGGCTACCGCGGCGATGCCGAGGGTGCCACCGCTGGTCTTTGAGCTCTGGGTCGAGGTTCCCGTTGTGGTTTGCTTCTCGGCAGCACCATAGCGAGGAGTCCCTGATGAGAATGCCTTTCGTGCTGTGCTAGGACTACCAAGCCCTCGTCTCCTCAGGAGAGACCGCGCGCCGCTTCTCGACAACATGGCTGCTTCTAATCTGGCAAGAGATGAAAGAAAGAAAGAGAACTCGCCCCTACCCTCAGTCGATTCTTCGGTAGCGGGGTACAGGTCGATACCTGTTGGTCCTCAAATCGGCCAGTACAATGTTCCACAATCTGGTATTTAGTTTAAACTTTTCACAGGCAGAGTGGGCTATCGTGAATCACACTCGTGGTGTTGTCTTTACTATATTCAAATGCTAGAATGGGAGCATCACATTGCCAAAACTGCCAAGGGAACCCCGCCCCTTTATTGGGTTTGTCCCACAGCATAAGGCCGCAACTCCACGACATTGACTCTGAGGATGTGTAAGAAGCGTAAGCGGAGAAACCGCCGAAGATGGAGCCGCCTCCCCAGTCCTACCCGAAAAAGGAAAGATCGTGAGGCCTTAAGGAGAAACTGATTTCTAGAAGGACTAGGTCAACGGAAAATTGGAGAAGACGAGCGTGGGGGTTCACTGATCTATTCCTCGCCATTCCAACTCCTACTTACACTTCGGAATTTTATTATAATTCCGAGTTTCGCAGTTTGAGCGTGACCCCCAAACTGCGAAACTCCACCTGGACCTAGCAACTCAGACTTACATTGAAGCTACCGAAGTCGGCGTGGGTGGGATACACAAATACACAATTTATGTATATCTCTGCCAAGGGAGGCGAAACCCCGTCAGACGCTGTGTGATCTCGTGGTTTCTTTCACGTAAGCGGCAGCCGTAGAAGATGGTGGCCAGTTGCCTCTTTCTTCGGTTTAGGCACAAAGTGTGACCTGTCACTGTGACGGCATTCCCCTCACTTCAACTGGGTTTCACGCTATTTGCTGCAGGCCGGGCTGGAAATAGACAAAAATCTCATCCAGCACGCTCGTCACGCGACCCTCTCAGAATGAATAATAGACAGTCCACAGCCGAGAGTAGCCGGATTACGAGGTGGAACAACATGGGCAGCACGTCAACGCAAAACGACCAACACATTTCGTACCATTGTCACTTATGGGAGTCGAGAGCTCGTGAGAATCTGTCTCTTTTAGGTTCAAATTTGTCCTTTTCATACGCCCTGGGGGCTGGCTATCTCCAGGGTAGTCAAAGCTGTGGAAACAAATACGTTCAAATCCGAGACTCCAGTCCTCATGCCATTTTTTAATCCCAAGGTTGCCGCGATTAGTGGGCGCCGGCGCTGGCCCTGCGACGGTCACGCTCCTCAGCGATGGTGAGCTTGACACCCTTGCCCTTGGGCAGGGAGACCCAGGGCTTCTCCTGGCCAATGACGAAAACGTTGCTCTCACGGGTAGCGAAGCTGTTGTCAATGGCGTCCTTGATGTGGACGATGTTGAAGCCACCATCGTGACGCTCACGGTGGGTGATGACACCAACACGACCCATGTTACGACCACCAGTGACCATGGCAATGGCACCAGTGTCGAACTTGATGAAGTCGGTGATCTTGCCAGTGGCAAGATCGATCTTGACAGTGTCGTTGACCTTGATGGAAGGGTCAGGGTAGCGGATGCTAGAATTTACGGGGTTAGCAGGGGAGTTTTGAGAAGGGGGACATACAGCCGTCAAATAAAGCTCCCATCGTTGCGGGTTGACACGAATCGACCAAAGCTTGATCCAACGGCTGAATGATGTCTGACAGAACTCACGTTCTCGCATCGTGCGTGACCAAGAATGGGATTCCACCACGGCCGAGCTGGACACGCTTGACCTTGCCGAGCTTGTACTCAGCCTCCTCGGTCTGGATTCGGTGGACAGTGAAGCGGCCCTTGGTGTCGTAGACGAGACGGAAGTTCTCGCCAGTCTTCTCGATGGTGATGACGTCCATGAAGCCGGCGGGGTAGGTCATGTCGGTGCGGACCTTGCCATCGACCTTGACCAGGCGCTGCATGAGGATGGAGCGGGTCTCACGGAAGTTGAGAGCATACTTGAGGCGGTTGCGGATGAACACGATCAGGGGCATGCAGTCGCGGAGCTTGTGAGGACCGGCAGAGGGCTTGGGGGCGTAGGTACCGGACAGCTTGTCCAGCAGCCAGTGCGAGGGGGCGCTAAGGCGCTTCTGGTGCTTCTTGCTGTTGAAGAGAGGATCATCAGTATCGAGTTCAAAACGATGCCGTGAGCCCAGAGTGGCGGCGGCATTCTGCGAGGATGATTGCAAGAATTGACGAAGACTCAATCCGACAATAACAAATCATCTGCGAATTGTGGCATAATTACTTACATTCCTCGGGCCATTTTGTCAGCTGGCTGTGATGTTAGCTGTGTGTTGAGGGAGTTGGATGAGAGGCTTGACTTGACAAAATCAATCCCAAAGGATAGTCCACATAATTTTTTGGCGCCGAAAATGAAAGCGGTGGGGGTTTCTTGCCCTAGGTGACCTGGCACAAAGTGGTGCGCTTGTCAAAAATTAGTGGGTAATATCACGTGACTACGGCTTGCGGGCTATCCCGTCTTGCACCGCTCGATGCTTCACAAAGTAGAAGGTAAGTAAAGAGTGTCAATTGGTTTCATTCGTAAGTGGACGCGGCCTAAACCGAAATCTCCAATATGGGCGTGATTCAGACCTCGCTTGAATGACGAAATGTGCTTAATTAGTGTTGTAATAGAATTAAAATATCTTGTACTCTTGTGTATCAATCAGTTACCAAGCGCCTTAATGGCGAGGTACCGAAGCGTGAGCCTCTAACAGCGTGTATCTTGTTCCCAAACATCCGGTCTTTACCCTTAGCCATAACTCAAGTCATCCAAGTATTTTCCATACCTATCCAGTCCTCTGCATTCCGATGCCCAATGAAAGTGGCTCAAAATGCGTTTTGACATCGAGTTACCAAACCCAAAAACGCCATATGCTTCATTTTCCTTGCCGTTATGAAATAATTAATGAGAGAAGGGGGGGCAAGAGACTGAATCTTGCCCTCGTTAATTAGAGATAGACAAAGGAAATGATAATGAGAGATTAGCTTGCTCTTCATGACTCCAGCCACTCAGAACGCAGACTGGGCAAATCCACGAGAGCCTCGGCTGCTATTAGTCGCAACTGTAGCACTATAGCATTCTCGGCTCCTCCAAAAGAAGCCTCGAAATATCCATTTCGCCAGTAATTAAATGAGGGGTAACTGAGTCGCCGAATTCGAGCGAAGCAGTTGTGCTCGTGTTGGAATCGATGGCCTCCACAGCCTGTGAGGGCCATCGTGTCAACTCCTCTCTCGAGGTACATTGGTTAACTTGAGGCTCGAGAATTGATGCCTTTGATGGCTGGAGAGAGTTGTTGATAGACATGGTAATAGAGGGTTCCATGATATCAGTACCTCGACACGCATCTTTGGCAACTTGGAATGTGCCCTTTTCAATTCTTTGATAAATCGCAGGGTATTTGTTACGCACTCGATCTCTCAGGTCAGTTGGATATCGACCCGAGAGATGGAAACGAACGTCGCGCTGAATCTTTGTCCAAGCTGGGCCATATTGATGAAGGCCGTCTAGGATTTCACGATCATCTTGTTCGGTAAAGGGGCGCCGCTCCCTGCGGAGAGATTTTTTGAAAGGGGCATGGATGCCCAAGCTCTCCAAATCCTCCATCCTCTTACGGTGCGCCCTGGACTTTTTAGGCTTTGATGGAACATCAGATTCAGCCGGGGGTGTTATCATGCCACCAGCTCCCGGTGAGCTCTGGTCTTCGCGCAGAATGTTGTCAAGGTGCAGGCCCTTCTTTCCGTTGTTCTGTGAATTTGTCTGGGTCTGTTGAGCTTCCCGGCCAGGGTTCCGTAGTTCAGCAGGGCAGCAGGTACGAAACCTATCTTTCAAATCTCCAGCCGTCCGCTCATTGAACTTGAAATCCGGGTCTTCCAGAATGCTTGTCCACTTCCCCACCCCATGGCGGCTCACACCAAGCAAAAGGTGGTTCGTCTCCTCCTCTGTCCATTTTCTTCTTGGTTTCGTAGCTCGCTTCCTCACTCTGTTTGCGGTTTTGTCTGCGCCGCCCGCGCCGCCACCGCCTCCATTAACAGCGAGTTGTCCTGCTCGTTCCTCCGAGTAGTTGAGCTCTTGTAATAATTTGAGTTGGGTCGCATCGTTATTAGTAAACTTATCAGAAGCAATAGGCGGAAATAGGGCAGCATCCGGTGGAGGTTCATGCAGGCCATTAATTATGGGTGGCATCACCGGGGCATGCGGGGTTGCCTTCTGCTTCTTCATGGGTTGCGGGAGCTGAAGAAACTCATCCTTGCCCGCAATCCCGCGATTCCTCTTCTTATTCGATGCATCTTCGAGAGATTCGGCGGTGTCATCGAGAATTCTGTTCAGATGGTATGGTTGCGTGTCGGAGGGGTCCGACTCTCCCAAGAGAACCCGCAAGGGATAGACACCCGTAGACCCGGCGTAGTTTCCATCGTGTCGGCTTTCGTGTTTCCGCTGCTGTGCTATGCCCTCTTCACCGATGGGCTGCAGACTGAGGCCTGCCGGTCCATTCGCGACAGCTGTCAGGTCAAGCGCTGTTCTGTCGGGCTGATGGGCTGCTTCGCGGTCAATCGGAGGAAGCGGGAGGTCGGTAGATGACGAGAAAGTTAGAGAGCTCAGCGGCGGTAGATCGGTGTGCCCAACCTGGGGAGTCTTTGATTCGTTGAGCAAGTGAATCAAACGAGGCTCAATCGTAGCCATTTTGATTGAGCCAGGTTCGATGCAAGATGAAGCCTCTCATCAGGGCGCAATCAATCAGGGAGGCGCGCTTAATAGATCAGTTGAGCCGGAGTGTCTGGCAAAGCTTTGACTTGTACAAGTCAAACATTTATTGACGAGGGCCAGCATAATATTACAACCATGATGGAAGGTCTCACCATCCATGTCGCATGTGTATGATGGCAGAATGGCAGATGCGAGACAGGAAGGCGGCTCACACGTGAAACTAACTGCATGTGATAATCATTGCTGGGCTTCTTGTTCAACCAGCCAGTGCCGAAGCGACGGGCCCGCTAAGAGACCCAGCCAGCAGGCCCAAGACGTCCCACATCCCTGCCACCGGGTCGCTTGCGCCCGGCATTGTCCACCCACTGCAGCCTCCTGAAGGATAACGGCCACAGCGAGCGAACAGGAACCCTCAGCACGCGCCGGCCTGCCCGCCCGGCCAGACGTGAGTGTCAGTCACCGACTGGGGTGTGCAAGCTTCGGTCAATGCATCAAAGGTTCTAAACCAATACCATTGGATCTCATTTGCTTTTTTGCGTGCTCCCCCCCTCCCCTATCCCCCCAACAAAGTCTCCTCTCCGCTTTTCTTCAAGGCATTGCCTTCATCCTTCCGCAAGTAGTGCCGAGGGGGTGGCTTTTCAATTTCAGCATTGATGAAACTCAGCTTCAAACTGCGGACTCTGCCTCTGTAGCGCTACTACCCTCCAGTTCTGGGCACTATATCAAGCCCGCTGCTATAGTACTACCACCCACCGGTGTCCTCACGCTACATCAGATTGGGTGCTTGGATCTGTCGAAGGATCGAACGCCATGGCTGCATTACTTCCGCCAATTCCCCGAGTGATCTTTTCTATTCTCGAGCCCATTTCGCTGTAAGTGGCAGTGGCCCAGCTTCCACTTCCAGTAACATTGCTGCTAACACTTTTAATGCATAGCGTCGCAGGATTTCTTGGGGCAGTGGTTGATCCGTCATGGTTCATGGCCCAGCAAATCCCCCAAACTCAAACAGTCCCGGCCACAGAAGGTGCAGTTATAGTGACAATGCAGCTTGGCAATCTGTACCTCCTGATGGCCTTCATGGGTCTCTTCATTCTTAATACTACATCCGAGGCAAAAGTCGTGCGGGCATATCTGCTGGCCCTTTGGCTCGGAGATATTGGCCATGTTGGCATCAGCCTGTACGGTCTGGGGTGGGAGAAAGCAATGAGCATCTCAGATTGGAATGGAACGACGATCGGGAATGTGCCTGTCACGGTGAGAGCTTCTGCTTCCATATCACCAGATAGATGTTCGATTTCCAGGACTAACATGGCTCCTCCCTGTAGATCTTCTTGTTTTTGATGCGCTCATCATACTTTTTAGGTCTCTTTGGCCCGGATAGACAGCTCGTCTCTGAGTCGAAGAAGAAGAAGAAGGTCTAGAAGCCGCTACTGATCCAATAGGAACTTCCGCAACGTACCTGGGGATGGGTTGGCACTTGTCATGCCAGTGGGGGGTCAAGCAGGATCTCGCGAGTACCGAGGCCGCAGCGATCTGGAATTGATGCGAATAACTGCCCGAATCAAACAAGTATCTACAAATCCATATACAACTACTCCATTAGGAATATAAAAACGCCGAGATGAGTGTACACCACCCTTGGGAGTTGTGACAGGATGTTGTACAAGGTAGACCCAAGGGAAGGGTTCGGGGACTGTCATAAAAAGTGGAGTCCCAAGGATCTGACCAATGGGTGATGAATGACAACGACGCGTGTAGAAATCCAGGGTTAGGGTTAGTGTAAACAGGCTTTGGACATCCTGGAACATCTTGGACATCAACATCGCCACTATTTCCCATTGCTCTTTCTGCTCACAGGCAGTCATATTCAGCTCTCCCGATTATGGAGACTAGATCTCGTCTGAGGCCGAGGAAAGAATCGTCGACGGAGAAACTCGTTCCTGCAAAAAGGACGAGGCTTGTCACGGCAGGTCGCGGGCGAGGGCGTAAGCGTGCAAAGGGGCACAGAGAACCAACTGCACAAGCTGAGATCGAGGTGCACCATGAAGATTCCCCCCAGGCTCACTTCTCTCCCCACAAATCAGCCTATTCACGCCGCGGTGCCCCTTCCTACCGAGTTCCTCGTCGCTCAAATCTTGGGGATGCAGCTGAAGTATCAAGCCTGCTGAGCGTCTACCAAGTGCAAGAAGGGCATGATAGCGAGGATGACGGTAGTTCACCAATTCGTCCGAACCCTGATGAAATCAGGAAGACCCAGAATAGGGCCATTCTCCGTGTAAGGTTGTCCAACCTGCAGGGCCTCAGGGAAGCCAGCGACGAACTTGTGTCAGCCATCAGGAGACATGATACTCAGAACAGCAGAAGCTCTTCCTTGGATCTAGACGTGAAAAGAGGCGTTCTCGAGTCTCGTCTTATCGCTTACCAGGAAGACCGCGAGGCCATATTCATTCAACCATCGCTCATTGCAGAATTGGCCGAGCCAGATCCAGCTGATTTGGGATTGGTTCGTGAGGATCTAGATATATTGCAGGTCCTCGGAAATGCCAATCTCGCGAGTGCCCTGAACTTGCTTCACCGCATTCGAGCTGGTGATGAAGAAGATGTTCTCTCATCCCTGGAAAGACTTGACGACTATTTCGATGAACTCTTTGCCCCTTTCGGGAAGGAGAGCCAAAACGTTCGCCAAGCTCTTAATCTTCGCACAAGTGTCTTCATCAACAAGCTTGGTCCTGTTACTGGGAAAACAGAGCCATACCCAGTTATTGCAGAAGTATTTTGTAAAGCTGGTGATGCCGAGCACCCAGAAGATTACGACAGTCTTTTCGAGCAGGGCCCATTCAAGCCACTTGGAATGGTGCATGGGGAAGATACCGATACGCTATGCATTGAGAGGATCCAAGAAATCCTTCAACTACTAGAGGATGAACGTAAGAGACCAGGCAGTCTAGCTCGTGCATATCCCACGGGGGAGATACTACAAGGAGTTGAAGATTGGATCTGGGAAGTATACCAAGCAAACAAAAACGAGCTCAGCGACCAGAAAGCAGAAGCACAGCGGGCCTCAGCCTCTCGTGACATTTTCCATGATGCAGAGGAACGACCTGGGGCAGAGGATACACAATCCACAACGGAGTCCCAACCCATTATACGCCTAGAAGAGAGCCAGCCGAGGTGAGTTCCCATGCATCCCATCATCCAACTCCTCGACACTAATCTTTCCCGCCATTTTCTAGACAAAGTTTATTTCAGGGGGCTCAGTCTCTCCAAGTTCTCAATGACACGTCGCAACCGGTTGAACGGCCAGAGGAAACTCAGCCAAGGTAAGTCATTGCCCTCGTGCCCCAAATACGTTGATGCTGACTGGCTTCTCAGGAAGAGCCTGTTCGAGGGAGCTCAGTCTTTTCACGCACTACTTAATCCAGCCCACTCTCGAAACACAACGATACCTCCATCTAACCAGCAACAAGAGGCTGCATCCCAAACCCCTCCTGAAGACTACGATAACGATAATGAGGCCATTCTCGGACCGCCGCCGCCAAGTAACGGTAGTATCGCGGTCGGCGAACCGCCAGTCTCTGCCAATACAGATGCTCAGAGCGAAGGAGAGCCCGAGGAAGAGAGTGATGACGATGACCCTTTCGAGAAGGACTCTAGACCTGCCAAGGACAAGGATAGGGTGGTAATTCACAGTATCGGTCCAAGGCAGGCCAGGACGTCAAAAGCAGCACAACTCATGCCCCCTCCTCCACGTCCCAGTGCTCCGCGGCCCACGCCGACCTCAACTGCCCAGCCAGGATCCTCGCCATCTGAACCGCCACCCTCCAGCCTTCGAAGCGTCTCCACCACCAGCCATGGGAGTTCCGGCTTCCATCCATCTTCCAGCTTCAAGTCCAGGCAACCGTGGTCAAGCAATGACACCAACCTCCTGATAAACCTGATTCACGTTAAGCAAGCCAAATGGACAAAGATTGAGGATGAGAATGACCGCTTCGAGCACCCCCGCAACCAGCAGGCATACCGCGACAAGGCCCGCAACCTCAAGGTCGAGTACCTCCTCTCCGACCGCGTGCTTCCGCCATCTTTCAACCTGGTCGCTCTGAGCAAGAAGGAGATTGATCGGCTGATTAGCTTCGGCAAGAATCCCTACCGCAAGGAAGATGATTTAGACGACGACGGAAACCCGATAGGCACTGAGTATGCCAGACCTGGCGAGTTTCCGTAGTTCACCAACTCTCTTGTGTCACCCCACAGGTGGCGGATCAACAACGCAAACTACTTATTGTAAATCCTTCTGGGCTTCTGAAATATCAATATTGTATATACAGTCGAAACGAGGTATCTAAAGGCAGCGCCCATTGAAGAGTTATATATTTAAGTTGTAGGATGAATCTTCTCTGATTGGAACCACGCAAATAAACGATCTTTACGCCTTGAGTGAATGTGCCCCATGAAACTCGGGGTTACCGTTCGTGTTACCGTATACCGTGTGGGAGAACAACTGGGATAGATACAATGGAACACTACTGGGCTCATTTGATTGTGGTTAGGTATTTCTCAAGCGAGATAGTAATCTTAATCTGAGTGTATTTGACATGATTTACGCCCTTTTAGCAGGCAGGTAAACTCTTCGCTCCTATTGATAAATCCACACGAATATAAACTGGTATTGACAACTGTTTCCCAGCTAAGAAACTTATGTCACATATGATAACACGGCCCTTTTGTTTTTCGTTCCGAAAACATAAAATTTCGCGGCCATCCACGAGCAAGGGCCATTGCGCGCGCATCGCGACCGCTGCAGCACATGATCCTACATCGTTGCAAAAAAGAAAAGAAGAAACAGGCAAATCATGAGAAAGGAAATTATTGTCAGGGGTATGCTGCGAACATTCCAGAAGTAAAACACCAACTTGGATCGCGACTTGAACAGATGAGAATAAAAAGACAAACAAAAACGATAAGTGACCGTCGAGGTCTGTAGGCGTAAGACCGTAAGGGGGTAAAGTTCTACAAGAATGGCAAGGGCTAAAATGAGTGTGGAATCTTCCAAAGACATAGCCTCCCAATCGCCAGCTTGAATGGCAATCATCAGTGGTAGGGGGTATCCCGCGTTTTGAGTCTGCTGGTTCTCCAGCCTTCATACCACTGCTCTCTGCTCGCTTCGCGAAGTTCGGATCGCCATTCACTAAAGACGGCTTCTTTGAGGCGGGTGAAGTCACAGTGTTCCTCGTTGTACGGGTCCGCGAATCCCCATGGGAACTGGCGGCCGATGACATCTGGGTCATACATGTCTGGACTGATAATTGAGAGTGGAAAGAACCCAGATTCATCTTCCTTGCCTCCTTCCTGGGCTTTGACTTGGCGAATCGACTGGGTGGACATGCGTTTGGAGTTTGGTGATGCCGGTGGTGAGGGCGTGATATCTTCGTCGTATTGGTCATGATCGCCATTGGCATGCTCGCTCTCTCCATATCCATCCGCTTCACCTTCGTCTTCTTCTTCGATGCGGCTGGAGGAGATACTATTGTTGTCATCATCGAGCCCGAGTGGCTCCAAGGGATCAAGACCGGATTTCTTCAGAGTCTCCCAAACTGTCTTCTTCAAAACCTTCATATGCTTGGTTGTGATCGTATCAGCCTTGGAGATGACCGGGATCACGGTGGTCTTTCCTTGCAGCAGTCGCAACACTTGCAGATCAAGATCTTCTTCCAGTCCACCCTGCACTCGGGAGTTTTGGCCATGGTGCCCATTCTGTAGAGAATTGGCCACAGTTCGGGTAGAGCGAATATTGCGCTCCAATCGAGCAGGGTCTAGGACTAAAAAGGCTGCATGGATATGGGTATCTTGAACACCAGGTGACCGCACAATCTTCATCTCCTCAGCAAAAGTCTCCTCAAATTTGCTCTCCAGGAACGAGGAGAGCTCCCGCAGCTGAAGATCGACGACGTTCTTCTCGAAACCCTCTGAATCCCACAGGGTCAGACCAATCCGCTCACCGTCAACCTCTGTCTCAAGATAATGGGGTATAAAGTTTCCTGAGGCAGGTGCAGGCAGCCGGAAATCGTCCTCCTCGTGCTTCCTGGATCTCTTTTTCGCAGGAAGCGCAAGCGCTGTCTTGAGAAACTCGAGGAAGGACGTCTTTCCCGAGTTACGGGTTCCGATAATCAAAATGCTAAAGTACCAATTGTCAGTACCAAGGCGATACAATGCAATATCCCGGTCGCCAATCGCGCGACCATGATGCTTGAAAACTCACTTGAAGGGGGTAGGGTCCTTTCTCCTCCGAACCCGTCTTGGACTGTTGACAGTGCTAACAGCGCTGCTAGCATAGCTATAGCGACCGCGGTTGGTCATACTTTCGGTGCGCGCGTATGGGTCGAAGGCATTCTTTGGGATTGGGGGCATTGGGACGTTGGAGGCGAGGGCGTGGGTAGCCGTATTGTTGAGAGGCCACTGGTTCTCGGCCTCATGGTTGTAAGAGTCGTCAAGAGCTGAATCGGGACGGAATTCGGGCGCGAAGGATTTGGAGAGCTTCTCGCTGTTGCCGGAGAACTCAGGTAGCTTGGGGGGGATTCGTGAACGCTGCTTCTCAAGCTCAGCTTCCCGGGCAGCTTGAGCTCTCTTACTCTTGCTGCCCAGGTCGCCACTCTTACTTCGTCGAAGTAACATCCCAAAACTAGGACGGCGGACTGGTGGGGAACTCATTGGAGAGAGGATCGGATCGACCTCTAGGAGAAGGGAACGAGGGGGAATTAAAGGCGAAAGTTCGAGACGAAAGATAGGGAGCGACTAGCCGCGAGGGGCGTCCAAACCGCAGGAAGCGCACGAGTCCTGGGGGGTGTGCTGCTGCCACTGAAACTCTATCGCGTGGCCAATCACGGAGGCGTACGGCTGTGTTCTCCTCATTCACAGCTCTAGTGGCTTTTATCCGAAATGGAGGGTGTGGGCGTGTCGCAGATGGGAGGCACTGTGCTATCAAATGCACGAATCTAATGGGTAGGAGCTCTCGAGTTGTCTGGTTGGGATGCGCCCGTTTGCGGATCACAACTCGCTCGTGCTTGCAGGGTCCTGAGCAGAAGCAGGCGCCGCCGTCGCTGTTATGTAAGGCACATTAAATTGGAATGGGGTCTGGGAAAATGGATCTCAGAGGGGGGCCAAAAAGAGAGTGGATGTTGGGATGGGTGGATGGGATGGGATGATGGCTTGGATGGGTCCCGTCAACTGTCGCTGGTCTTGTCTGTTGATTAGCCCCTATCTTAGGCGTTGCGATGGGATGTTGTCATGTTACCTTGGTTGACTGGGTAAGCAGCGAAAAGTGACTCGACTTGACGAGAGCGTGGGACGAAATCCAATCGAGGCACACACGAGGGACGCGGTCTCTGACCGGTGAGAAAGGGGCAACAATGATTCCGGGCCGGCCAAGGAAGAGAATTGGATAAAGGCAGCAAGCGCGAGGTAGGTACTGAGGGAATGAATGGATGGATGCTCCCGCTCTTCGCAAACTGGATGCAGGCAGGTAAAAGACATGGCACCCATCCCGATCATCCATTGGACCCTTGTCGACTGTCAATTGGCGCCAGCAGAACATTGCCTTAGTAACCCACCACAATGGCTGGCTGGGTGTACATGCATCGACAGTATTTCTCTGTGCGCTCAATAAGGCCGAAAACGTGTTCCGCGACGGGTCGGTACCTTGCAGAAATGTACGCCCCCACCGAGGGCACTAAAACAGAGACTGGGGTTGGCCTTTGGTGCCTGGGTTGAGGGACCTCGAGCCTCTAGCCTCTAACCTCTAGAGGTATCACGGCGCGGCCTCTAGCTCTGCCCAGCACGAGCCAGGCTCATTGGCTTTTTCCCGCACCTGGGCCATGCCTCGGGCAGGTCGTGCTTGGACCCAGCTGGGATGAAGCTTTCGAGGAGGATGAATGAGTACTAACGCATGCATAAGGCGCGTCTGATCCTTCCTCTCTCCGATCGTTGGGACTGGATACGATGTACATGTACATGGACTAATTCTTCCTTGTGGACTCGGCTCGGAAGCCTCAAGCGCCAAGCTTCTCGGTGCTGCTCAATGCGCATCTCTCCACATCACTGGACCGGCGCAGATGTCTGAGACAAAACAGCTTGTCTCGCAATTATAGCAGTATCATCGTTGTCGCCCAAGCCAGCCTAACTTCAATCGGTGTTAGAGAGCAGCCCAATCAGCCCAAGAACCTCTCTACTCAGCACCGGCCACACCATCTTTTCAATGCCCATTCTGCTGCGCATTTCATGGACGCTGCAGTCAGCCATAATAAGCGACGGCCAGTTATGCGTTGAGCCCGCCTCGCGTCGAGTCTGTGTATGTACTACCCGCGCATGTATGATCATTTACGAGGGCCAGGGTCAGATCCAGCGCTCGGATACCCACAATGGCCGAAACGATTTCGGCGTAGTGGCGAGTGGTATCCATTGGATATCAATCTGCTACACTTCCTACAACAAGGAATATCCCCATTGCACGGCTCTCCCAGCACAGATCTCCCGTCGCCGTGACATAAATTGACTGCACATGTGTTACACTGGCCAGCTTACCGCCTGTTGGTCAAATGTCACCGTGTTACCAACGAGAACAATGCCTATCTACCCAAACATTCAACGAGTCAAGAGTTTTCGTCAGCCCCAGTATTGTTTGCTTCGTAGACCTTCTTCCTTCATGCCCAAAACAAACGACTCGTCACATTCAAGCACGCCAAAATCTCCTGACTTCAGGGATCCACCTCCAAATACCTAATTTGGTCCCCTTCCCAAACCGCCGCACCGGTCAGTCTTGTCAATTCCACGCGACACTGAGACCTACCTCTTGGGCTTGGGCTTGGCTCCATGCTCTTTCACAAAGATTGCCAATATAATCGGCAGTGGATTGAAAAAAAGGTCTTACCACCTTCATCAACTCCTGATCTACAGACGGCATTGATCCGCATGGGACAATACCCCATTCATCCACCCAGGCTAACAAACATGAAACATGCGAAATCTCGCGGCGCTCAAACAACTGCCGTAACCCTGCCGCTGGGACTAAACCGCGGATGTCGTGGTCTCTCTCGCGTCCTACCCTGGTCTCCCCTTAAATTTGCACCCAAAACCAGTCAGATAGCCCTAGTCTATTTTCCCCTGGTAACCATTAGTACCAAGTATATACTACCACTACGAGTGTACGGGCGTATCAGACGGGAAATTTTC